AAAAGCAATTTTTTTTTAAAAAAAACGGGTCGATAAAATAAATAAAAGAGCATATCGAAAGTTAATGCAAAAATTATAGCGAAAAGGTTTTTACGCCGAAAGGTTAAGCGCGCTTAAAAGCGTTTTTGCACTTAATTAAATATTGTTAAAAAAAAAGGAAACCGTAAAACAATGGGAAAAAATAATATTTACAATTAACAATAAGGAAAAAAACTAAACATAAGCAGGCTAAAAGGATTTAATGTTACAACCAATAACCATTAAAGCCGAAAAAAAGGCTAATAAGTAAAAAGTAAAGCGTTAAAGCTACCCTGTACCCAAAAAGATTAAGTAAGCTAATTTGTAACTTGCTTAACAAATTACAAATTACGGAAAAGTTTGTAATTTGCTTAACAAATTATAAATTACGGCCTTTTAGCAAAACACTAAAATTACCAAGCTCAAGTATTAAAAAAAGGATTTGTTACCGTTTTAAATAGTTTTTAATAAATGCACTGGCATTAATTAATTTTTAGTTAGCTTTTAAATATCTTTTTGTTACGGGCTAAAAGCCCGTATAGTAGCTCCGGTTATGCCGGGGTTACGCCGCTACAACCAAGCAGCGATTTCGTAAAAATTCCAGCCACATTTGCAATGCTACATTGTAGCGCCCCAGCAGCGACTTACCGGGAAATTGGGTTTTTTTTTTGCAAAAAAGGATTTGGCCAAAAGTTTTTTTTTTTTACCTTTCGTGATAATATAAATTCTTTTTGGCTGCTTTTAAGCGTAAGCTATTGGCGTAAGCCCTTTACATATATTATTACCTTTTTTTTAAGCAACCCCATTAAAGCTTACGCGGGTGCGTTACAACGTTGCGGAATTCGATTAGCATTTAATGGCCGATTTTTTCCTAATTCCGGTTTTCCCGATATTAACGCTAGCTAGTGCAAATTTAAAAGCGATTATTTAATAAATAACCGCATTAAAAAATGGTTGTTTATTAAAAAGTAGAAACCAATAATTGCATTAAAAAATTATTTACCGAATTTAAACATTTTTACATATTTACTTAATAAAACCGCAAAACCCCGGTAAATACGTTTGTTTTAAGCCGTAAAGCGCCCGTTAAATTTAACCCGTAAGTACGGATAAATGCAATGCCCGTTGGCAATGCAAAAAAAAAAGCAAGCTTAATGCTTTACTTTAGCTATAACCGTTTAAAAAGGATTGCAGCTCGTTTGTAATTTAATTAGTTGTTATGCGTTATAAAATTACGATTAACGCGCAAAAAATCGAAAATTGAAAAGCCCGTTGGGCGGAAATTTTTACGTTATTTAATATTAAGGTTTAATTTCGGGTACGCGCATTTGCAAACCGTAGCGGCGAAAACGGAGCATTTAAACCCAATGCGTTTATAAATTATTTTTACCGCATTTACAAAAACCTGAAACGCGTTAAATTTGTTAAGCAAAAGCTTCCAAATTTCCGTAAGGGTTTAATTTTATTTGCAAAATATTATTTTAAAATTAAGATTTTAATATAAAATGCAAAAACGGATCAGCCCAACGCCGTTTGCATTTTTTATTTTAAAAACATTTTAAACCAATACTTAATTGGCTTTTTTAATTAAACGGAAAATGCTAACAATTTATTACGAATGGGTTAAATGCGTTTCAGCGTTAATTACTAAAAAAAAATACGCTTTGCATTTTTACCATATTGCATTGTTATAATTACGTAATAACTTTTTAACCTAAGCTTTATACAATTTAACGCTTTCGTAATAATAAAATAACAACGGGAACGTTTAAATGTTTGGGGTTAACGCGGCGAATGTACAATAAAAAGGTTTTAAATTTAACGCGGTTAAAGCTAAATGGGTATCGAAAAAAATTAAACAAAAAATAAAAGGAAAAGCGTTGCTAGCGTTACGGTAATTGGAATTATTAATAATTTAAATGCTTTTACTAAACGGTAAACCGGCGCAAAAAAGCCGCCCGGTAAATATAAATACGCTGTAATTAACCTTTTTTTTTTAAAAAAAAAACGATGCGAAAAATAATAACGAAAAGCAATTAAAATAAAAGCTTTTTAGCAAAATCGTGTTAAAAAGCAAAAAATGTAACAAACGGTAAAGTTAAAATTGCATAGCAAAAAATAAATAGCAACCCGCTTTTATTTCATGCGCTTGTTAACGGAACGCATTTTATAAACGCGTTAATAAATACGGGTTGCTTTTGCTATACCGCAATAAGCTTTTAATTTATTTACGCAAATAATTTTTAACGCATTACGGTAATACCGCAAAATATAAGCCACGTTACTAAAGCATTACAAAAAACCAAAATTTTGGAAATTGCGTACGGTACAATAAACATAAGCAATTACGAACATTTGTTTTACGCTTACGTAATGCCCAATTTGCAATGGTCCTTAATATTAAGGAATTTTTAAATAAAATAAAAAAATATTTGTTATTACGCAACAAAAAAGCTAATTATAATTAGCAAAGCAAAAAATTTAAAAGTAAAGCTTTCGAAAGCGTAAACCGCGTTTCCCGGGGTAAGTTAAATTTTAAATACAAAGCAATTATACGCCGCCGCTTTTAAAGCGGAAGCCAAACGGGTATATTGCCGGAAAGCCGCAAAAACGTTAGTTTTGCGGTAATTACAGCCAATATTTAAAAAGCTTTAGCGTTTAAACGGAAACGGGTTGTTAAATTAGTAAAATTACAAGGTTTAAATTAAGGCTTTGCAGCACGATTACAGTAATTTATAAGGTTACGTTTACAAAGGTCGGGCTTGTTAAGCATTATAATATAATGCTAATAAACCCACGTTAGTTGTTAAAAATAAGTGCTATTCCAAGGAAAGGGTGCCAATTTAGTGCTTTTCCTTATATACCCACTAACATCGATTTTGCGGGTTTTTACCCTTAAAGGGTTGCAATGCCGCGCGCGATTTTCGGCAATATTATTTTGTGTAAGGATTTTTAAAAATCGACTTACGGCCACCAAAGCGATTTCCGCGTTCGGCTTCCAAATTTAACTTATGCTAATTAACGTGAAGAAGTGCAGGGTAAATATAAAGTAAGTGCAGGGTAAGTGCAAGGTAGCACCTTATATAACTTATTAATTTTAACACTTCCTTTTTTTTGCTGCTTCCGTACAAGTTAAAGGAAATTTAATTACAAAAGGAATTGGGAAAAGTATATAAATAAATTAAAAAAATCGGTTTTGTTTTTAATGCGTTAATTTGCACCGTTATAAATTTTTAACATAAAAGTAAAAAAATTTAAGCTTTAAATTGTAAATTTGTAAACTTTAAAAAACCTTATGTTTAAACAGAGTTAATGGCTTTGTTAAACTATTAACAAACATATTTTTAATATTTATATATTTTATTGTAATTGTACTAGCAATAACCTTTTTTTACAATATAAAATTTTAGCAACGTATGTTTAATTCGAAAATGTAAGGTAAAATTATATGCATTGCTAATAAAGCTTATATTATTACCGAAAATAGCTATAAAACTTTTTTACAAAGCATTGTAATTTTGTAAACAAATGTTTTAACCATTTTACTTTCCGAAAGGTTTTTGCTAAGCCGTTAGTTTTTGTTTTAACAATGCTATAAGCTATAATGCTAGCTTTTTGTTACAGTTAAGCCTTTGCTTTTAAAGTAAAGCACCAAAGGAGTACTAAACAGTAGCACGTAATTTAACAATTAAAAGGATTTACAAAGTAACTTGGGTGCGGTTTAAATGCTTGCTCCAAAGGTTACTTAAAAGCTAACTTAAATTAATTAATAGCAAAGCCTTGGTTAAAAAACTATTTAAAACAGTAAAAAATCCTTCCTTTTTATACCTTATTTTGTTTAAGCGCTTGCTTGGACCTTTAAAGCCGATATTTGTAACTTTTTAAATATTGTTAGTATCGAATAATATTGTTAATACCTTTAGTATTAAACGTATTATTTATATGTTACGTAATAAAGCGGGGTAACCTTTCCTCCAATTTTAGCAGCTTTTTTTGCCGCCTTTCCGGTTGGTTTGGTTTTGTTGGTTGTAACATTAAATTCCCTTTTTAATGGCCAAGCCCTTTTGGTTTGCTTATGTTTATCCCTTTTTTTATTATTAATCGTAAGTATTTTTTATTATTGTTCCATTATCCTTTTTAACTTTAATAATGTTTGGTTAAATGCAAAAACGGGATATACCCGCTTTGCGGTTTTTTACCGTTTGTTAACGCAATATTTTCGACTTTTTTTTAGCATTTAATATAAAAATGCTTTTTTGTTTTAAATGCAAAGCCCGTGGTATTTTTTTTTGCCGGGCTTTGCTTACCGATTTTTTCCGTTATTTAAAATGCATTTATTTAAACCGGGTTAATTATAACGTATTGGGTCCAATTTGGGCCCAATTATTGCACGTTGCTTTCCAATTTTTTAAATTTTAAAACGAAATAAACTTTGTTTTTAACAAAATTTGTTATTTAAAAAACAAGCGTAAGTTTTTCCGGAAACAGGAAAAATTTTGGCAAAAGCGGTACGTTCGGATGCTTCGTCGTAATTTGGATAGCGTGGAAAACTTGGAACGTATTAAGTAAAAAAAGGTTGCGCAAGCTATTGCTTTGGCGGTAATTAGCTTTTGCTTTTTACTTTTACTTAATTTTTTTTATTCCCGGATTGGGCAGCGTTTAAAGCCAATTTTAACTTCGACCCGTTTGTTTTTTTTTCATTCGGGTAAGTTATAATTTTTTTAGCAACTTTTTTCGGTTGTATAACGCAATGGTAACGCGTTTGCTTTTGTAGCAAAAAGTTCCGGGTTTAACTTCCGGTGCAACCGTTGTTATCGATCTTTTCCGCTTTAGCTAGCGGTGGAAATTGGTGATGTTTTTTTTTTACTTGAGCCCGTTAATCCTCCTTGTTAATTCCTAGCCTGGTAAAGGTTTGGTATCGACCTTAACTTATTTGCCATTTTTTAATTAAGTAAATTGCAATTTCTTTAATAATTCCTTTTGGTTGTATAGCGCAATGGTAGCTCGCTTGCTTTTGTAACGGGAAATTCTGGGTTTAACTTCCGGTGCAACCATTAATTATTGCAAAAACGTTTCCATCGGAAACGTTTTTTGCAGCAATTGTATTTTTTTTTGCTTAAACCTGCTAGCTTATCCTTTAAATATGTTATTGGTTTTTTTCCTTTTGCTTTTTAAATTTTTCCAAATTTGGGGCGTTTTAAAAGCTTTTTTTGGTATTTTATTGCTAATTCCTTTCCAAACGATATTTTTGCAAAGCTTTTTAGCAATTTCCCAAGTTTATTGCGTTTTTTTATGTATTGTGCTTATTTTTTCGGCCTTTCGATTAAAGGAAATACTGTTGCTTGCGGTAATGCGTCCTTTTATTTAAAATGGCTTTAATTTCCCATTTTTGGTTAGGGTTAATTTTTATTAATTTGGTGCTTTTAAGGCCCGAAAGCGCTGGTTTTAGCAAAAAAACGTAAAAAACCGGGTAAATGCGCATGCTTAATGGTAATTAAATTTTATAATTAATTAAAAAAATAATACGAATACTTTAAAAAGGTTTTTATTTTTTTATCCAATTTATTGCTTGGCCTTTGTATTTTAATGTTAGCGCGTAAAATGTAAACGTTATTCCTTTTTTTAAAGGTTAATTTTTCGATCCTTTTTTTATTGGCTTATTTTGCTATTCAATAGCGCAAAGTTTTAAATTTATTTTGGAAATTTTGGTACAATTTAATAAGTTCCGTTATTTAAATTTCCGTTGCTAAAGCTTTAAATTCGGTTTGGGCTCGTTATACGCCGTAAAGGTATACCCGTAATTGGCGTAAAACGGTATTTTTTTTGTGCTTTCGTGCATAAAATTATTGTAAGCAAATTAAGCAATTAATAATAATTAAATCCAATTATATTATTTGTAATTAACGTAATAGCGTAAATATTGCTTTATTGTTTTATTAATTCGCTTTATTTATTCATTTGTTTAAAAGTAATACGTTATTAATAAAGCGTACTTTGCTTCGAAAAGCGCCGTAAGCATTTTCCAAAATTTGCTTGTAAATAGTTTGTTTTGGTTCTTAATTAGTTTTTGCGGTATTTTGTAATTTGTTATTACGTGCTAAAAAAAGGCGTAAGCTAAAATTAACGCGTTGTTATTTTTTTTGTAAAGTAAATATAAAGCATATTTTGTAAATTTATTTATTATTATTAATATGTTATTATATTGTATTTTCGTTAAAAAAAATTTAAATTTAAATAATTTAACAACGAAATTTATAATACTTTTTTGCTATGCTTTGCTTAGTGCTTTAAGCGGTTAAAGCAATTTATAAAGGAAATATTTGTTGGGCTTGTTTTTAGCGCATATTTAGCAATTTTTTATTATTTTTATTATTATTGCTTAAATTTTAGTAAACCCGTAATGCTATTGGAACTTTTTCCATATTTTGGTAGCTTTTGGATAGCTATAAGCCGGTAACCCGTAAATTTTTTAAAAAAAATTGGTGTTTAATTTTATTTTTTAATTGTTAAAGTTATTGCATGCTAAATTAAAACCAACGCTTTTTTTAACCCGTAAATTAAAAGCGTTTTGGTTTTTTTTAAGGTAGCGATTTTATAATTGCTTTTTTGCTTAAAACGTTTGCTTTTTCGTTTTTTAATCCTTTTCGGTACAAAATTTGGAAATTATAATTTTAAAAATATTAATTCCAACGGATTTAACGCTTATTAAAGTTTTAGCTCGTAATGAAATGCGTTAAATTTTTGTGGTTTATATACATTGTAATTTGGTGGTTTGCTTTACATAAATATACTTTCCATTTTTCCAAAGCTTTAATAATAGCAAAAAGCTTTTTATTATGGATTTGGTAATTTAATTTGGTTTTTTTAAGCTTTTGTAAAAAAAAAGCGCAAAAATGCTACCTTTTTTTTCGTTTTGCTAATTTAATTATTTTCCGATTGCGTAATTCGACGCGTTGTTACAATTAAGCCTTTGCTTTTAAGGTAAAGCACCAAAAGAGTATCGAACAGTAGCACGTAACTAACAATTAAAGGAATTTACAAAATAATTTGGGTACGGTTTAAATGCTTATTCCAAAGGTTGCTTAAAAGCTAACTAAAGTTTAATTAATGGCCAGGCCTTAATTAAAAATTACTTAAACAATAAGAAATCCTTTTTTTTTATACTTTATTTTGCCCAAGCGTAGCTTGGGTTCCTAGGGCCAATATTGGTAATTCCTTAAGTATCGTTGGTATCGAGTAATATTGTTAATACCTTTAGTGCTAAGCGTATTACCTGGACGTTACGTGGAAAGGCGGGGTAGCCCTTCTACCGATCCTGGCAGCCTTTTTGCCGCTTATTTTGCTAACCTGGTTTATTGGTTGTAACATTAAGTCCTTTTTCCAACGGCCAAGCCTTTTGGCTTGCTTATGTTTGTCCCTTTTCCTATTGTTAATCGTAAATACTATTTTTCCTTATTGTTTTACCATTCCTTTTGGTTTTAACAATGTTTGGTGGGTGCAAAAACGGGGTGCCCCCTTTTTCGATTTTCCACCGTTTGCCGGCGTAACATTTTTAATTCCTTTTTGGCATTCGGTATTAAAATGCTTTTTTGTTTTAATTGCAAAGCCCGTGGTATTTTTTTTGCCGGGCTTTGCCCACCGATTTTTTCCGTTATTTAAAATACATTTATTTAAACCGGGTTAATTATAACGTATTGGGTTCGATTCGGGCTTAATTATTGCACGTTGCTTTTTAATTTTTTAAATTTCGGAACGAAATGGATTTTGTTTTTAACGAAATCCGCCGTTTGGAAAACAAGCGTAAGTTTGTCCGGAAACAAAAAAAATCCTGGCAAAAGCGGTACGCCCGGATGCTTTGTTGTATTTTAAATAGCGTGGAGGAATTGAACCGAATCGAGCGAAAAAAGGCTAAGCAAATTGTTGCTTTAATGGTAGCCAGTTTTTTTTTTCCCTTTTCCTAACTTTTTTCCTTTGCTTATTAATTGGGCGGAGTTTGGGGTTAGTTTCGACCCAAATTTGTTTGCTTTTTTTAACCGGGTAAGTTGTAATTTCTTTAACAACTTCTTTAAGTTGTATGGCGCAATGGTAACGCGCTTGCTCTTGTAGCGGGAGGTCCTGGGTTTAACTCCCGGTGCGACCTTGCAAAGGACGTTTCCCAGGAAACGTCCTTTGCACCCTTTTTGTTTGAGCCTGCCAGCCTATCCCTTGGATATGCTGTTAGGTTTTTCTTCCCTTTGCTTTCCAGATTTTTCCAAATTTAAAGCGTTTTACAAGCTTTGTTTTGGTGTTTTATTGCTGATTTTTTCCCAGGCGATATTTTTGCAAAGCTTTTTGGCAATTCCCAAGGTTTGTTGCGTTTTCCCATATGTTATGCTTATTTCCCTAGCTTTCCCATTTAACGAAGTATTGCTATTTGCGGTAATGCGTCCTTTCGTTTAGGATGGGTTCGATTTCCCATTCCTGGTTGGGGTCGATTTTTACTAATTCGGTGCTTTTAAAGCCCGAAAGCGCTAATTCCAGCAAAAAACGTAAAAACCCGGGTAAATGCGCATGGTTAATGGTAATTAAAATTTATAATTAATTAAAAAAATAATACGAATAACCCGAAAAGGTTTTTATCTTTTTTTATTTAGCTTGTTATTTAACCTTTTTGTTTTAATATTAGCGTGTAAAAGGTAAGCGTTATTCCTTTTTTTAAAGGTTGGTTTTTTAATCCTTTTTTTGTTAATTTGCTTTGCTATCCAATAGCGCAAAATTTCCAATTTGTTTTAAAGGTTTTGGTGCAATTTAATAAATTCCGTTACTTGGATTTCCGTTATTAAAGCTTTAGGTTTGGCTTTGGGCTTGTTATACGCCGTAAAGGTATACCCGTAATTAGCGTAAAACGGTATTTTTTTATGCTTTCGTGCATAAAACTATTGTAAGCAAATTAAGCAATTAGCAATAATTAAACCCAATTATTTTGTTTGTAATTAACGTAATAACGCAAATATTGCTTTATCGTTTTGTTAATTTGCTTTGTTTGTTCGTTCGTTTGGGGGTGGTACGTTATTAACAAAGCGTATGCTAAAATTAACGCGTTGCTGTTTTTTTTTTGTAAAGTAAGTACAAAGCATATTTTGTAAGCTTATCCATTATTACCAATATGCTATTATATTATGTTTCCGTTAAAAGCTTTTTTAATTTGGGAAATTTAACGATAAAATTTATAATAATTTTTTGCTATGCCCCGTTAAATGCTAGCAATGGTTAAAGCAATTTATAAAAAAAAATTTGCTAAATTTGTTTTTAACATACATTTAGCAACCTTTTATTGCTTTTAACGTTATTATTTAAATTTCGGTAAATTTGTAATGTTGCCGGAGCTTTTTCCATGTTTTAATAGCTTTTGGATGGCTATAAGCAGGGTTGGGAATTAAGTCATTCGTTAAGTCAGTAAAAAGTCACAGTTTAAAGCTTAATATTAAATTAACTATTATAGTTATAAGTATAAAAATACCACCATTAAATACAGAAAACTCAGTTTTATAAAAATAATATTTAAAATATTTAATTACGTAATTATATATCACGTAATTTGCATTAAGTCATTTTTAACTTTTTTTTTAACTAATTGTAACTTAATGCATTTTTACCCGCTTATATACCATTTTTAGGTAATATAAACTTATAATATATTTTCTTTTGCTATTTGTTTATATAAATACGAAGAAATAAACGTTCTACTTATTTTTGTTGATTTTAAATTTTATTTGCAAAGTTTTGTACTTAAAAAATTGACTTAATAACTTAATTGTAACTTAA